TAGGTTCTTATAAAATATGTAAAAAAATTAATATGTTCAAATTTATTCATACAAAACATTATACTTTTGATGTTTTAAAGTTTATTTACATTATTAGTATTATTTCAATCACAACTGTTTTTAAGAATAAACGAAAAGATTCAAAAGTATTGAAGCATCATGAGAGCTTCTCCGGTTATAAAATGTAGATTTTGAGTTTAAGAATTCAATTTTCAGTTCTGAAATAATATTTTAAAAAATAAATAAGAAGCTAAAATTGAAATTATGTTTTTATTAATTCATTTACCTTAACTGAAATAGGAAATAATTTAGATAATAAAACTTAATAAAAAAATATTGTTAATTATCCAAATTAATTATAACTTTATATTCAATCAAGTTAACATGAAGGAATCAAAGTTTCAAGGATGGATTTATTAGACTTTAATATTGGAATCATGAATTCACTTCAATAATTATGTATAAAAATAAAAATTATATTAAGTATTAAAAATATTTTTGTGAAAAAATATGTTTAAAATTTCAATACATGTTTTAAAATTGAAACAATTACGATCTTCTTGAATAAACAAAACTATGTTAAAAAATGTATATTTAATGTAGAAAAAATATATTATTGAATATTAAATGATTTTGTATCATATCATCTAATTATCAAATTTAAACTTTCTTTCAAATGTCATGGTATAAATTAATATTTTTAAATTATAATAAGAAAAACACCAATAAATTAAATTAAAAGGTGTTAATACCACTAGGAACACAAATGCAAATCAAGATAATTCTTTGAAAATTTAATTGATATTTTCTGAAGTTCGTATATAAAATGATCAATATTTCATTGTATGTAAAAATTTAAATAGAAAGCAGAGTTATTCTTTTTTATTCTTATATCAAAATTTATTTTAGTGCTAAGAATATTGAATTATTTTTCTTAATAAAGAAATCTGAATTTTTTACACAACATAACATTGGTTGTTTTTATTTAATTTACAGTATTCATTTTAAGAGAAACAAATATATATATATATATATATATATATATATATATATGAATGTATACTGTTATACATATACATAAAAACCAAATTTAGAAATATTACCTTTAAAAGTGTATAATATTTTAAAACATGTGTTTGGAATTCTAAATGAAATTAATGTTTTTTTAGCTTAATATATCTCGCACTTACGAAAAAATGACAATTCAAATTTATGCATACATGTATTTTATTTTATTTTATATATGTTCCATCCTAATTTTAATCTTGCTTAAACACAAATATGATTTTCTGAATTTATATTTATTTCTGGATTACCCAATTGTATACTATCCAATACTATTATAAATTATTTTAAAAAATAAGTATTTAAAATAATTATTTAAAGAAAAAAATAGTTCACGCAGTTAATATGTGTTCTTTGTGATTTTGAAGAATATTTTGAAGAATCTTAATATATGGGGCTCTTTCCCCTGTTGGTAACAATGATATTTATGCTCTAAATCTTTTTGTTTTTTTACAACTTCTTATCTTAAGTAAATAGTAAATTTTAATTTACATTGAAAAATAAGTATTATTAAAACTTAAAAATATCAAGAAGGAAGAACTATACATATTGAGATTCTTTTTTTAAAATTAATGTACAAGAGAATAAACTTTAAAATCTATATTTTTTCTTTTTGATATTTTTGATCAATGAACACACATCTAAAAAAGTTTCCAACTAGTAAATTTAATAAATTAAAATTGAATAATTCATTTAAATAATAATAAAAAAAAATAATAATAAAATATAACTTTTACTTAATTTTCAAAAGAAGGAAATGGAAAGGAAAAAAAATAAAAATTAAAAAAATCATGAATTAATAAATTAAATAAATACATAGCAAAACATATCCATCAATATAAAATAAATATTTAAGTACATACGTTTGTACATTTTTTATTCAAATATACTACCTAAATGTTCCTAATATTAATTCTTAAAATATATTATATAGTTTTCAAAAATTTATATAATCTTTACTTCAATATACATTTTACAAACTAATTTTTAAACGTTTTTAAAATTTATAAACTCAGAACTTAAATAGAATATAACTATATAAATAAATATTTATTATTGGAAGTCTTTGTTTAATTTTAAAATATAATATAAAAGTGAAATATTTAATATATTAAGTTATTATAAACTTAGGGTATAACAATAAAACAAACTAAAATATTTTTATAAATATTAGATATGATAATTTATGAGCACCACAAAAGTCGTAACTAATGAAATTTTGATTAAATTTATATACTAAGAGATATTGATGTAAACTTTTAAAAAATAAAATGATAGATTTTAGAGAATGTAAAAACTACTGCTTATATATAAATAGCTTCCACTTGAATATATTGGTTCTGGTTTCTTACAGTTCCTCATTTTTTAAATAAGCAAAAGAGAGACTTAATAAACATAGGATATTTTCTTTATTATTTTTAATCATTTTTTAACTTATCTTACAAAATGAATTTCCTTATATAATTGTTTATAATTATAATATTACAATAAGTATAGGATTATTGTTGTATTTTTATTTAATCATTAATATTTCAATAATGATATTTACAATTCTACATTAAAATTTAAAATATATTAAAATAATTTTTAAAATAAAATTTGTCTTGTAAACTATGAAATTAATTTTAAAAAATAATTTAAGTTATTTTCTCTATAATAATCAAATTATACAAGTGGATATTCAATTTATTTAATTTATTAATGCCATACCATCTATTTTGGAAAGTTTGACTTCAAAAATTGTATTACTGAATTACTACATAGCTTATTTTTTAATTAAATTATAAAGATGATTGAATTGAAATTACTAATTTTAAAATTCTTGAATTTTTTGATTGTGAAAAGAATTATTCAATACTTAAAAAGAATTTTTGAACTTTCATTATGTAATTAAATTCTTTAAGTTGTAAAAAGAAAAAAAATAATATAAATAATTAAGATGAGAAGACATGTATATATATATATATATATATATACATACATATGTGTGTGTGTGAATATATATATATATATATATATATATAATATTAAGAAAAAAAATCAAATATTTAAAAAATCCCAAATATAAAAGATAAAATTGGTTGATAAAAAAGTGTGATAACATATTTTTGATTAAATTAGTAAGTTTCTCATTTTTCGAGGGTGTAATATGTTTTAAATTTCATTGCAACTTTTTAAGAAAACTTTAGTACATAGAGGTGATTATTATACTAAATTAATAAAAATCTTTTTTATGTCTTTTATATTTTTAACGTAAATAAATATTCCATAAGATGATGTTTTGTTTTCTTCTTACATTTCTAAGTATTTACAAAATTCTAATTCAAAATAATTTTTTTTTCTTTAACTTTTTACAATAAAAATAATTTTTTAAATCATTTCATATCTAAACTTATAATACTAAGTTTTAGAATTTTATTAATGATATTTATTTATAATAAAAAAAATTCTATGAAACAATTTAGATGCATTGTTTTAAATACTAGTGGTTGTATTTGCTGAAAAAATTAATATTCTTGATTAGTTTCATTAATTCTAGAATCTTAGTTGTTTTGAACAAAAAATGATGTATAACAAAATTAACTTTAAAGTAATTTAATTATATAATTAGTAATCTTTTAGTTATTTTTAATATTATTCTTTTTTCTTATGTTTCAAATATGTCTTATTTAAAATATTCTTTTTTCAAATAATTAAAATTAGCACAATATCTCACATAATCAGAATGAAAAGTAAGGTTTTGATGTGCATTTATATATCGGACTTTTACATTTTTAAAACTTGTTTTATATCACATGTTTTAATAAAACTTCTAGCTTAATTTCTTTTTTATTTTATTATGATTTTTCTAAGTTTTTTTTTTTTTTTTTTTTTTTTTTTTGTAGGAACAAATGCACAACCCTTGTTTTAAATATGGTTTTAATTTAAATAGATAAACATGATTGATTTCATTCTATTGCTATTTGTTCAAGAAAATTCTCAATAGCCAAAATTAATTGTATGATATTCAATAGTTATTTTTTGTGATAATGTGGATTCATTCCAAAAACAATATCACTTGTAATTAATCCCACAACATCAATCTTATGGACTATTTGAACCTACCTTTTTTTAGATAACATTGGTCACTTATTTATATAGATTTTAATACAAACTTTTTAATTCCAAATTCTTATGGTTTGACTTTTGTAATGGTGAATAGTCCAACCAAAATAACACAACTTGTCCCATGTTTAAATGTTATTACAAGTAAATAAATAATTAAATTTAATTGATTATTTTCAACATGGATTAGTGTGCAAAGACAATTATTCAATTCTTTTTTCATATTCCAACTTGTTATGTAGAATTGTAGATTAACAAATTATCACAAAGCTATGTTCAACAATCTTACCTTTATTCTAAAGCTAATTTCTACAAGTTATCTAATATTACTAAGCTTTTCAAGATCCGCAACAATTTTTTGCTATTCATTATTTTGTTTTGTATGTACAACTCTAAGCATCAATATATAAAACATCAATGGACCTTAAAACATTAAAAATATTCAAAGGTAAAATGGTTTTGTATACAAATACATATACATCTAACTTATATATATATATATATATATATTCACATGAACTAATTCAACATACTTTAAATATAATACTTCATTTTAAAAAATTTACATACATTTTGATCATTAAAGTCCTTAATTTTGCACATTAATTAATACTTATTTGGAAGTATAAATATCACCAAGTTGCAATTCTAATAACCAATAAATTGTTGTTTGATATTATATTAAGTTCTTGTTGCTGTCAATGGTTTCAACTTAATCATTTGAGTACTCTTAATTCATGAATAATAATAATTAATACAATAATAATATAAAATTGGTACATTCAAAATAAGTTTCGCAATGAGAATATGGACACATGTGGACTTCGATAGAAATATCCAAAACCCAATCCAAGCGGTAGAAACAAATGCCAATAATTTCTGCATTTGACCAGAAAATGAATTGTTCGGTAGCAGTACTTCATGCCATGTGAACCTTATCTCCTACTATTGCCTTCAACCCCAATACAACTCTGTCTAACTTGAGACTTCGCTATAAGAATGCCATAAGTCATCAGATAAGTGTGTATGTAAATAAAAATAGTGTGTATGTGTGCGCGTAAGGTAGGTAGACAAACAATCAACTTCTGGGTCCACCGTCTAACTTGACCTAGGCTAAGAAATCGAGCGCAATGCGATCCTGTTTACTAATCCTGTCTAGAAGAGTCGAATCCTGCGACTCCAGAGAAATCTCAGTATCTCGTATGATCACTTGCAGGACTGAAATGTCGTCACTTAAGTCCGGAAATTGTACACTACACTCATAAGAACCTGTTGCTGGGGGTTGATTTAGCACATTGCCGATGGGTAAGGTGATTGTTTTACCGCTTGGTACGCAGTCTTTAAGATCCAAATATAGACGGTGTTGTCTGCCAAGAAGCTCTGTCACACGCTTCATGTTGCCCTCAGCCAGAGCATTCCGAATCCGAGTGGTTGAAACCTGGCCCTTATCCTTGGCGGTGCCATCTAGAGGAGTGTCTTTTGAATCCATAATTGGCTCCACAATAGCTGATTGCAATCCATATTTTTCACACAATTCGACCAAGTCTGATGCCTTACCAGCAGCTCTAAATCCAAAACGATAATCCGCTCCTGCGGCAACGTCATTTTAATCAAACCCTTAGCTGCGACAATCCACATACAAATCCACCAAATACTAATCTGAAACTTTGAAATAAGCATGTTCCTCAGAGATAATTGACCATCCTCATCGTTGGAGGCACAATGACACCAAGGAAGAAGAAAGTCAGTGCAGTTATTTTAATTTTTATGTTGCATGTGGTTACACGTAGAAAAAGGTCTCATGGTAAACCCCATGAAGTAGAGTAACTGCTGCGTTTCTGTTTTTAAACAGGGAGAACATATTACAAAACACAACTTAAAAAGTAGCTCATTCCGAGCATTCTCATCCCACCAACACATTACAATCTCATACAAGCCCTTACCAGCTACTGCACCTTTAACCTTTAGCTCCTTGGCAAGTTTCTCAACGAATTGTTCTGGGCTTAGTTTGCGGATCTTAGCAAATTCAAGCACGTGCTCCTGTGGGACCATATCATGACAGTGCTTCCCCCAAGATTCTAATACACGAGCACGGTCATCCGCAGCGACAACTGGTAACCTGCAACACATCATCTAAGAGTTGAGCTACAAATCTCGACAAGATAATCACATTGCAATGATGTGTCCTAGTCGCAACACGACATGCCGGATTAGTAGCAATCTGCTTCGTCCACTATATCCGAGACATACCACATCAAAACAAGGAACTCAGCATAAAGAGCATGAAGAAATATACTTAGGCTCCCAACCAAGCACCTCCGCCATCCCTGACAATGACAGCATAATAGGCTTTCCGATCTCCGATGCGCGCTCTACTAATGCGCGATGTCCTAAATGTAAACCTTCAAACTTGCCCAGTGCTACAACGCCGCCCGCCACTGTGCCACGACAACCACAACAAAATTACGCCTTTTTTCCACAAGTCAACTATGAGTCTTAGATTTGGTGTATATCTACATATATACATGTGTGTGTGTCTATTAGGTCAAGCCAATGCCAGAAGCTCAAATATGCAACCCTTCGCAACTGCAATTTTACTTCACTCGTAAGACCTTACCACCCTACAAACCAGGGGTAGTAGGCGGAGAAAAAATTCAAACGATGCCATATGTGAATGAGAACGCCAATTGTTCATGTTGAAGAGAATTTCATTATAGTGCAGAAACACCAAAAGTTTCAGAAAATGTAGCGCTCTCGATTGTAAGTCGCGATTATAGGTGCTCCAAGAAATTACAGCATTATTCACTCCAATAATGACACGCACTTAATGAGGTTACAGAGCAAGGCACACCAAATCTCTGTGTCAAGTTTCGGGACTGCAACCATTGAAATGCTAAAAGGCAGAAAACAGCCCTTCACCACTCTTACATTATCTAACCCAAGCTTAAAAAACTGAACTCTCGTGAATTCACAAGAATCATAACAAGTGACAAAAAAGCAGATCGCGCGCAAAACCAAATTCTAAGAAAAAGACTAGAACAATAGAAAGACCACAATTGCTTCTAGAGAGCTTAAAGCAAACAAACGATCGTCACTAACGCCAGTAGAACGAGTTCCCATTCCGAACATCGAAAGCTAATCGCAACAAACGATAACAATTGACGAGCTACAAACGACACATAGAACAGAAACGGCTGGCAAGTTTACCATCGGATTGCAGGTCGGATGCCGCCATGGAATTGGTATCCTCAGCAAGGGAAAGCTCCGCGAGTCCCATCGCATTCAATCTGCGAACCCTAGGGCGACAATGGACAGTGTCATACATACAGCACCGGCCTGGTAGCATTCTTCACACCTTGGTTATAGGCTCTGGTCCTTCCTTCCGGTCATGCGTCCTTCCTTCCTTCACAGCTCGGTTACCGGGCGCAGTGGGGAAGACCGTGCTCTGGTTCCCGGATACCCAAACGATGAGAGGTGTGGAAAGGGTTCCGGATGACGACTGACGTGGACGTTTCGCGTGGCACCTTCTTCTTAAATCATTTAAAAAAGTTTGTAGTCCACTGAATTTAATGATGGTGCACTCTGTTTATTCCGAGTTTAGGGTTTGTAAGAAGCTTTGAAATTTTAATCGTTTCCTTGGATACTTTGGCTTTACTCATGCTGGTACTTACTTTGCACCAGCACAATTCGATTATTTTTCACATGTTATGTTTAGGTAGAGTTTTAAAATAAAAATGTTTTTATACTTTTATAAATATATAAATACATGTTCTTTTACTCTTTATTTAGCTTGGAAACAATGTCTAAAGATTTATATCTTTCTTAAATTTTAGTGATGATTAGTGTGTATATATAAATAAGACACAGTCAAGATATTAAATTAATAAAATAATAATAATAATAATAATAGGATAAGGCTATTGCTAGCATAATTTTTGCTATTGCCACTATAAACTACCATCCTTTTGATATATTTTTTAAGTTTTATTTTTTTCAATATATATATATTTTTTAATTTTGATAGATAGATAGATAAGAGAATGTTAAATCAACCCCATCAACCATTAATTTGATATATCCATCATAACCAATATTGTACTCTTTGTTGTGATTTCCCTATTTTCTATCTTAATCTCCATATTCTTCATCCCAATCTCAATGTTATTTGTTCTCTTTTTCTTTCTCAATGTTCTTTGTTCTCTTTCTTTGTCCCACATCCCATGTCCCCATTCTGTCATTCCATGTCCCCATTTGCAACTTGCATCTACTATCTCGCCCCCTCAAAGTGTAGATAGTGGGCAATTATATATAACTATCATAGGCATCTTGGTACCCATGGAAAAGATTATGGAGGCTAAGCAAGGACATGTGAAGGCTAAGAAACAAAAAATTCACAATACAACACTTTCTTTGAAGAGAATGTAAGAAGAATGCAATAATGTTCTTCTTGTCTTCATGCAAGAAACGACAAATCAATAAGATAATTTAATCTTATATTATCAATGCTTCTAGATTGTGATCCATCCAACCAAGAAGTTGATTGATAAGGAGATGCAAATCTATGGCATGGTACAAATACCAAGAGACACACTAGTTTGACTTGTATGTAGAGAATCTATAAGATTCTTTAATTGGGTATGAAAAGAGATTCAATTCCATGGTATAGTCAAGATTGAACAAGTGTGATATCTCATTTCAAGAGTCCTAGATTGTAAGAAGAATACAAATTCCAATACTTTAAAATGTTTAAGTTGCACTTCTTACTAGCAAGGAAAGAACAAAGCTACTTAGATCAACAAGGCCACCTATACAAATGGTAAGAAGTTGGCAATGCTGCCAATGTTAATCACTAATTTGGTGGTGAATTTGCTTAGTCTAGTGGTCTCTGAGATATTACAATAAATGTTGAAAAATTATAAAAGAGTTGGGAATAGACACAAGGTATGAGGAATCTAGAAGCATTGATAATATAAGATTAAATTATCTTATTGATTTGTCGTTTCTTGCATGAAGACAAGAAGAACATTATTGCATTCTTCTTACATTCTCTTCAAAGAAAGTGTTGTATTGTGAATTTTTTGTTTCTTAGCCTTCACATGTCCTTGCTTAGCCTCCATAATCTTTTCCATGGGTACCAAGATGCCTATGATAGTTATATATAATTGCCCACTATCTACACTTTGAGGGGGCGAGATAGTAGATGCAAGTTGCAAATGGGGACATGGAATGACAGAATGGGGACATGGGATGTGGGACAAAGAAAGAGAACAAAGAACATTGAGAAAGAAAAAGAGAACAAATAACATTGAGATTGGGATGAAGAATATGGAGATTAAGATAGAAAATAGGGAAATCACAACAAAGAGTACAATATTGGTTATGATGGATATATCAAATTAATGGTTGATGGGGTTGATTTAACATTCTCTTATCTATCTATCTATCAAAATTAAAAAATATATATATATAAATATATATATATATATATATATTGAAAAAAATAAAACTTAAAAAATATATCAAAAGGATGGTAGTTTATAGTGGCAATAGCAAAAATTATGCTAGCAATAGCCTTATCCTATTATTATTATTATTATTATTTTATTAATTTAATATCTTGACTGTGTCTTATTTATATATACACACTAATCATCACTAAAATTTAAGAAAGATATAAATCTTTAGACATTGTTTCCAAGCTAAATAAAGAGTAAAAGAACATGTATTTATATATTTATAAAAGTATAAAAACATTTTTATTTTAAAACTCTACCTAAACATAACATGTGAAAAATAATCGAATTGTGCTGGTGCAAAGTTGATTGTGCTGGACAAAAAAAGAGGTTGGATGGATCACAACAGGGACAAGAAGATTGCGATGGAGATGGGAGGTTTAATATTGGTTATGATGGGTAGATCAAAAAGTATATTATGTGTTTTTTGTAATCATATATACCTTGATGAAGAGTGGATCAAATTAATAATTGATGGGGTCAATTTAGCATTTCTAAATCACAAAGTATTCTTAAACACAATTTCTAAATTTCAAGAATATAAAAAAATGTATGTAAAAATATAAATAAATATATATATATATATATATATTTACTTGTATATTATTTTATATTTTATTGTTTGATTGTATTATTGTATAAAATCATGAATATTACAAATAATAGAACTTATGGATGTCTGCTAAAACAATGATCCAGACCATTATTATAAGCCAATTTGATCTTCCAAAAGCTAATATCAATATAAAAACTTTGAATAACAGATTTGTCTTAGAGAAATAATATATGACTTAACAAGTTGACTTAGTTTTAAGCTTGGTACTTGTCTTTAGCACTTAAACAATTGGAAATACATTGATGTACCTACACAATGATTTAAAAATAATCAAAATAATCAAAATATATTTCTTACTTAAAATATTTCTAAAATTAAAAATATTCACAAATATTTATGTAGACAAATACATGGCAATTTATTTTTGACATGGCATATACAGAAGGCATGGAGTTGATTAAAATGTTTAAAATAAATCAAATAAATAAAAATATATTTGAGAATATTTATATATAAAAAAATTAAAAATATTTTTATAGGATTTAATTGATTCAATATAAAATTAATATAGGATAAATAAATAAATAAATAAATAAATAAATACATAATTATATTTTCTCTTTTAACAATCCGGTTGGGACAATAATATCTATAATTTAAGACCTACAGTTTTTCCAGGAAAATCCTAAAAAATTTTATTGATGAAATGAATCACTTTATTCTATCATTGAATGTTTTTCTTTTTGTAATATAGCTTCTTAATTTTAAATTGAATATAGACATCTATCAACACTAATTATTTTAAAACAACATACACTTTTCATGTGATTTTTTTTCTTATTTCTTAAAAAAATTTAAATACAATCTTTGATTTAAAAATCAAGAAAAATTTAGATGCAATAAAAGATAAAAATAATAAAAGAAGATTGTATTATTTATATAGTAAGATCAAAAACATTTTTTTGATGATTGAATATAATATTTAATTATTGAAGCGTTTATTTTTTTTATGATTATTATTATTGAAGTAACTACATTTGAATATTAAAGAAGATTTTAAATATTATTTTTTATTTTTTTATTTTTAGGATTGGTTTTTTCTTTTTTTCTTTCTTTCTCAAATTTAGAGCATTTTGGCAAGCTAAGCCTGGAGCCTCAGATTGATTACAATTGTTTGTTCATTTGGCGTTCTTTATTTAGATATTGTAAAAATCCTCAAGGAATTTTGACTTATCACTTGAAGATTTTAAGTAATAAGTCAAACTTTCAAGTGAATTTCTACTGTGATTGAATAAAGTATGTTTCTTTTAAAACCGACCTATTTTAGAATTGATTTTAAATATTTTATTAAATATTGAATAAATGAAAATTTTAAATTTAAAGACTTTATTAATTAAAAACATTATATGATTTTTAATGTTTTGGATAAAGTTAAAAATTCAAAATTTCAAACTTATAATTTTAATATCAAATAATTCTGAATATAACTTTGAGGTCTTATAAAAAAAAAACATGATGATGAAATAAAGAAGTAACAAAAAACCTCATTTATTTTTCAAAAGTACATCAGTTGTTGTCTTTTATAATAATTTTTAAATATAAAAGTAATAATATTTAATAAGTATGATATTTGAAATTATTTATAATTGAATTATATTTTTGAATTAATAGAATGAGTATGAATTGTGTATTTTAAGTAATAATTTAAAAGTATGAGAAATATTCATGATTTTTTGAAACATTTCTATTCTAATTTTAATCAAGTATTTGTAATTTTTAAAAATAAAATTAAACAAAAAAAAATTCACATATATTTTTTTGTATAGATAATTAATAATGTAGTCTAAATAATTTTCTTTCATAATTCTTTATCTATTATAAGACAGCTTGGATATAATATAAGAGACAAAAATGTCTTTTGATTAGGTGTAAAGAAACTTAAAAAATGCAAAGAACATAAGAACCAAAAAATATGAAAATTAGGAAACTAGGAAGCATGAAATTAGAGAACATAGGAACAAAGAAACAAGAAAATGTGGAAACATAGAAATGAATGAATAAGAAAACGTGTGAACAAGTCCCACTCTTTATACCAACTCTCATATTTCCAGCCCCTATTCCTTATTCTAATCTCCTCCTCTGTTGTTGCTGAAAGAGAATCTTACTTTAAAAAAGGCTATAGGCCTCTAGTTGCTACTAATTTCTTTATGTTTTCTTAAATATTTTTAAAACAACATCTAGTAAAATCTAAGTTTTTCTTAAATTCTTAAGTTAACAAACCATGTATTGGAAGTTC